TTTCTTGGATTTAACAAACTCTTACTCTGTACAAGTAGTCTCACATTCTACATTCCGTTCCACCGGTTCTACCGCCCCAGGAACCGCAGGCATACAGGCTTTCATACGCACCATACTACAAAAGAGATAAATAGATATACAAACTGGGCAACTCATTGCTGCCAGGCTTCTTGATCAGCTTGCATATTGAACATCGCCTTGTAATCGCTGTATTATCGTCCCTCAGTTAGGATGGGCTTCTGCAAAAAAGCATGTCTTTATTTAAGCCTTGAACGGCGATTCCGAATTCCGAATAGGCGTCAAATGCAGGTGATGGAGCACGCGATTTGGACAAAACCAGTTTTCATCAATTGTTAACTGAAGTAAACGCAAACTCACAGGTGTACAGCCCCACAAGGGAATACATAAAAGTGTTTGTGTCTACTTCTGGTCGGCCTGAAGCCGTGACATGAGTAGTAGAGTAAGAGTGCGTACATTCAAAACGTGATATCTACTTTCGTCCGGATACAATAAGGCGGTTACTGCTGTCAGTACGCCCTTCATTGCCCTCTTCATGGTCTGAAATGGAGGCGACACTTTCGGCAAATTAGGCTTTTTCCCCATTATCTTTATAATGGTATTGACAATGCGATAAGCACGCGGTTGCTATTCTAATCGACGACACTACTTATAAAACATGTAAGTAGGCTTGGAAACTAGCAGTACAGCATGGATAGGAATTTGGTTAAGCTGGGACGCATCTGGAGATTTAAGGACTGGTAACGGAGTTTTATCATAATACTATGAGTAGACCTTAGAATGCAATAGAATCAACCTCAGCCTTGTCTCTAAAATAACTTGCTTATCCTGGTTGGACCACCGTTTCGAATACATCTCGCATCAACACCCTAAACCGGGCCATCGTCATAGCCACGCAGGAGGAACGGGATAATCAAGTTAAGCCAGGCTTCTCTTAAACCACCTTGTATAGCGGGATTGTTAAAGAGGTCAACATGTATTTACCATTAGTATAGACGGAATTACTTATAGTTGATATGAGTAGGGTCCATTTCTGATTAAAAAAGTACTGATAGTTTTGAAACAAAAAGATGTTTTGACATGTATTCACTCTATTTCGTCTAAGGTGATGAAGGACTGGTAGTAGAATTTTCCCACAATGA